TAAAGAAGCTAAGCATGAGAAACAATGTTAAAAAAAAAAAAAAGCACTCATAGCAAGCAGAAACTGTTTTTGTCCCTACATCCTCCACCTGATTTCTGCTATAAACAGTAGAGATCTGTTAGTATTTAAAATTCATTTATGGGGCTGGGGATTTAGCTCAGTGGTTCCACCACCTGCCTCCCAAGCCCAAGGTCCCAAGTTCGATCCCTGGTACCAAAAAAAAAAAAAAAATCAGCCTCTCCAAATTTAAAGACCCAATCCAAACATGGCCACCTGAAATGAACAGACAGATGAAGAAGTAGAAGTGGCAAATAAATACATGAAAAAAGGTTCAACATTCAAGAGATGAAAATTAAGACAATGCTGAGATTCTATCTCACTCTAGAAAAAATGGCTATTATCAAGCAATCAGCCAGCAACAAAAATGCTGGTGGGACTATGGGGAAAAAAGGAACTCTTCTTCACTACTGTTGGGAGTGTAGAATGGTGCAACCTCTGTGCAAATCCAGTGTGGAGATTCCTCAAAAAAAAAAAAAAATTAAACTAAAACTAGACGTTCTATTCGACCCAGGTATTCCCCTTCTTGGTATTTTCCCAAAAGAATTAAAAGCATCACACCAGAGCAATATACGCACACCTATGTTTATAGCAGCACAGTTGGTAATACCTAAATCTTAGAAACAGCCCAAATGCCCATCAACTGATGAATGGATAAAGAAGTTGTGGTTTTTTTAATACAATGGAGTACTACTCTGCCATAAAGTATAAGCCTGAGACATTTCTCACACAGTAAAAAAATAAGAATAAAACTCATTTTTTTTGACCAATTAAATTACAAAGTTCTACTTAAATCTGTGTTGTGGCTTCACTTAAAAAAAAAAAGCAGGCCTGGGGATTTAGCTCAGTGGCATGGCACCTGCCTTGAAAGCGTAAGGTCCTGAGTTCGATCCCTGGTATGGGGCAGGGGATTATTTATGAATTATGTAATGGCTTTATAGCAGTGATCTCAATTCCTTTTGGCTTAATCAAACAACTAACTCACTTGTAATACTGTTTCTGAAGGGCCGACATCTCTACCCTGAGAATCTGCTCCACTTTGGCAGGAAGGGACTTCTCAACATCTTTTTTGACTCTCCGGAGAAGGAACGGCTCTAGCACCTTATGAAGACTCTGGTAGCCATTCTCTCTCCCTTTTCCATGGTCTTCTTCAAAATCTTCCCAGAACTCAAACCTAGGGACAAAACAAGTCAGTGTTGCTTAGTTACACAGAAAGAAAAAAAGCATTTTTACAACTAAAATTTCTTTTACAGAGAATTAAATGGGGGGAAAATATGTGTAAAAAAAAAATGACTTTTTTCCCACAGTGAAAGACAAAATTTATCCATCACTAGGCTCTTGAATAAAGGAGAAAGAAAAACAAAAAGGAAAAGGACGATCAACTCAATCACCCCATCAGTCTACACTAGATAACAGGTTTCCAAGTCTCAGACTGAATCTAGTTATAAAGTATTTCAGTACAACATGCAATCAGTGTAAGGAAAGTTATTCTTATAAAATGTTACACAAAAAAATTAATCATAAACCACCCTTTTTCTTCTGTACTTCTTGAGACAGGTCTCCTTACATATTTCAGGCTGGCCTTGAACTCACTATGTAGCCCGGGCTGGCCTGAAGCACTTCTACCCCAGCCTCCAGAGGGCTGGAATTACAGACACATGCCACCACACCCAGCTCCATAAACTACCACTTAACAAGCTCTAATTGCTTGGGGAAATAAAATTCAGAAAAGGATAATTAGTGGCAGTTTTATTCAGCTGTCACTGCTCTAGGGTTAAAAAGTTACACAGCATAAAGTCCATCAATAACCTTCACTTGATACATTAAAAGTTAATGTATTATAATGACAGTAAGATTATAACCCAGGCAAAAAAAATTGCTAAGTAATCCAAGTTTTTTTTTGGTACTGGGGATCGAACTCAGGTCCTTGTGCTTGCAGAGCAGGCGGCGGAACCACTGAGCTAAATCCCCGGCCCAGTAATCCAACTTCTATAGAACTCGGGGGTAGGAAATTAATTAATGGACTTATAAACATGTTACTCATAATAATTCTACCTCAACTCTACAGATAAAACTTTCTCATATATAAATCTTAATTCAACCACATTCCATTCACTAAAAGATCTATGGCAGAAATCCAGATTGGGACATTATAAGATTACATTCAAAAATTAAAAATGAGAGACATTTTAATGCATGAAGATTAAGAATCACAACTTTGTCTTTGCTGCTATAAACACAGTGAAGCACTGACAGAACTAGCTGAGTTCTGTGCACAGATGGAAGTTCTGCAGGAAGGACACTGTGAACTAACTGAAGCAAGACCAGGAAGCTTTAACTGCACAGTGGGCTGCTATGACAGCTCTGCTGAGCTCTGTCAAGTGGGAGAGAAAACCTCACAAGACCACCACTGCCTAGAACTACACAAGACTCAAAACATATGTTCTGGAAAAATGAAAAGCCAGTGACAACACAGGCCAAACTTGCCAATGGATACAAGGCCTCAACAGTTCACTGCCGTTTCTGAACTCCTAATTGACCAAGCACTTCAGCAGGTACAGCAATGTGGATCAGCATCAGGCTTAGGGATCCCTGGTAATGCCTGAAACAACCATCTAAATCCCCATTATGGATTACAGCCTGATACACCTAAGGTAAATACTCTAAGAACATAAAAAAAAAAAATGAGTTAAAACTAGTAATAGGATTAAAAGGAAAAATGTGACGTGAACTGTATCAAAACTGGGGATGACACCTCACATATGAAATGTTTGAAGTGACTGAAATTCAGTAGAACTACCATTGTATCTGGCTATTTTCTGAATATTAGAAGACTCAAGAGGCCAATTAAGTTACTTAACATAATTACAACCATACTAATTTAAAAACTTAAATGTAAACTTTATTTACAAGATTTACTTCCTACTCTTTTAGCCAACAAATGTGTTCACTGCCTACTGTCTTCTCACTGTACTACAGGAGTTAATGAGACACCATTTCTTCAGACACACACACTGATCCATGTTTTATGAAATGTCTGTGGCTGCTGTCTAACAACAGAGAGGAATAGTTGTGATAGACTCATGGCCTACCAAGCCAAAAATATTTTGTATCACAATCTTTAAGAAAAATGTGCTGGGCCAGGGATTTAGCTCAGTGGTTCTACCGCTTGCCTTGCAAGCGCAAGAACCCGAGTTCGATCCCCGGTACCAAAAAAAAAAAAAAAGAAAGAAAAGAAAAATGTGCTGTCCTCGTCAAATGATATTAATTTCTAAAATTACACATATAAAAGGCATAAGGTAGTAGTGATGAATGTCCAATAACACACTGTAGAGATGCATTACTTTTAGATATATCCCTGTTATCAACTTCTGTACTTCACATTTGTCACACAAAAGCAGAAACAGGGTTCTAACTTTTTAAATTTTTCAGACCTTGGGAATTTTAGAAACACTGACGTTACCTCAGTGTTTTAAAAACACAATTTTCAGAGGAATAAAGATCTCCTCTAAGCAAGAAAATAAAACAAAGTCTGCATGTCTAACGCTAATCTATGATACAGTAAATAATTCAACTGACCATAAAGAAAACTTTGGAAAACAGTATTTGAATAATCATGTCTAACAGAAAAAGTAAGTCACAATCCCTCTACAATTATGAAAGCAGAATATGCAACTTTCTTCTAAGATATTGGGTGGAATGCAACAGTTGCTCAATAACAGAAAAAAACTATGACCATTGAAGAGTCAAAATGCTTACCATTCACTTCTGCAGCCGGCGGTACACACCTCACTGTATTTCTATACAAACAAGCATGGATGTTCCCAGTATACCTTGTGATTCCTACTACCCAGGATGCCTTTTATTTAGCCTCTATGATATGAAAAATTATACTTTCTCTCTAAGTTTGAAGTTCAAAGAACACTAAATTTACTCCATCCACTTATTAGCCAGGTAGTAGAAGACACTTTTTTTTCCCTCTAAGCCAGTATGTTCTTATTTGGAATATAGCAACTACATTCTTCCTATGTAGCAAACAGATCAAGTATGAAAAGTAGTATGTAAGCTATGAGTAATATACATGAAAATTCTATTACCTTTGCAAAAAGAACACCTTATAACACAAAGGACAGAGTCCCACAAAAAAAATAATTATCCAGCCCAAAATGTCAACTGTGTGCCAAGGGTGAGAAACCTTGCTCTAGAAGAAAGTGGTAGAAAAAGGGATGTAGAAGGGGTTCCTCTCCCAGAAACACACAGC